GTGTGTGTGTGTGTGTGTGTGTAGCACTGTCCATCTTGTTTATAGACCCTCATTGTTTTGGGGGTACACCTGGTTTATGCAGCATTGTAATTTTTGCTGATTGTACTGTACAGCACAGTACTACAGTTTTGTTGTTATACATTGAAGTACTACATGTAAGAATTATGCCAATAAAACTCACCAAGTTGGACTTTCCTTTGACCATTAGTTCTCAATATTGTACATAATATATACAATTCCTGTTTTAATGAAAAGAGCCCAGTTGTTGAATGAGGAGTGTATGTATTCTGGTGTGACATAGTTATGGAATTAGAGAAATGTCTTAGATATCTGCAGTTTCAAAACCAATCTCTCAATAAAATAATATCTGAAATTTTTCAGTTTTTATTTTTGCCAGGCTCTTTTATTATTATTTGTTTTGTTTGGTTTGGTTTGGTTTGGTTTTTTAGAGACAGGGTCTCACTATGTAGTTGAGACTGACTTGGAACTCACTGTGTAGCCCAGGCTGGTCTCGAACTTACGGTGATCCCCCTGTCTCAGCCTCCCAAGTGCTGGGATTACAGGTGTGTGCCATCACGCTGGGCAAGCCAGGCTCTTTTAAACAATAGCAAAAATAAGGTTTTACAGATAGGTCACAAGTTATTTAGAACACTGCTATTCTCTTAAAACAATGTGAGAGCTAGGGCTCGGCTACCTTCATCACTAATTGCAGAATCACCACAAAACTTAGACAAGGGGACATAGCCTATAGAGCTTATCTGTCAGTATCTAGCCACCACCATGCCATTCGGCCGGTTGTTCACGTTGCCACTCACCCCAGAAACCAGTCCCAGGTGAGCCTAGACTACTGCTTTGCTATCTCCATGGTTTGAGTCATCAGATTTCCTCTGCTCCAGAGCTGCAGTAAATCCCTGGCCTGGTATCTGTTCTCAGGTCTGTAAGCTCAGTTATGTCTACTGATGTGGGCCTTTCAGTAGGGTTGCTGAGCTAAACAGGTGTCTGATGAAAGGTGTGTAATCCTCTAAGATTATCTTCCCCTAAAAGCAGCTGGTGACCTTGAACTCACATAATCTAGACAGATGGGAGTTGAGACCCAAGTAGCTAGACCAAGTTTATACTTCTGTGTCTGAGTTTCGGGTGGTAGAAGATGGAGTTGTGCAGGGATGAGAGGTAGCCAGGAGGGAGGCCTTACCAGTATCCACACCCTTGCCTGAGAACACAATTCCATTCATGGTCAACTCTTCAATCTTGAATCATTACTCAATTCAAAATGAAAGAATTTTCCTATAAATGAGGGTTCACCTTGCAATTACTATACCGGGAGTTAAATTTATGTGGTAATTTGGGTCTACAAAAACACATCTTGAATTTGAATAGGTAGATCATTCCTTATAGTGATGGATCTGTCTACATGAAGACAACTCTTTACCCCTTTTTCTCTTCTTGGGAGAGAATTAACCATTTCAAGCTTGGGGTATCAGAGCTAGTAAATACGAAAAATGACGAGGAGGTCTGCCATAGCAGAAGCAAGGAACACGTCGGTCCCCCACAGTGCAGCCTAGGAAGGCTTGCTTTTGTAGACATCGGGTTCTTCTTTTCCCTTCAAGCAGACACCTTGATGAAGTGTGTGGCCCACATTCCATCACCCAGTCCTTACTTCTCCAGGTTAAAGTAGTTCCACTGAAATAGAGGAAGAAGCCAGTTTCTGCTGGATCACAATAGCTGATGTGGGTTTATGGTTTTAAATTTCAAGGCCCTTACTCACAGGTTAGCACTGTTTTCCAGCACCTCTGGCTTGCCAGTGATTAATTATACTGCAACTACTTCAGTATGTTCTCCATACATCACTCTGTTTTCCATCTGAAATAGCCAGATTTCTCCAGTTGAGGTTCTCTGGTTGAAGTATCCTGAGCTAAGGAGAGATGTTAGAGCACATGGGAGTCTGTTCACCAGGGGTGTGTTGTACTTGTTCCAGATGCTTCAGGATAATACACCGGCTTCCAAGATAAGTGCTTTTTATTTCCCTGCATCTTAGATCAATTATTTGGAATCTTTTTGGTAAGTTAAAGAGCTGTAACTTAAACCACCACATCTCTATAATTACTCAATAAGTAAAATGTTCTCACCAAAAGTTATTGTGTCAATGGGCTGTATCGTACTTACGCTTTGAAAAGCCTAGGAAAAGTAGAAAGAAGCAAAAAGTGGCAAGAAGTTTATGTAAAACTATTTTTTGTTAGTCCTGCTGCTAACATTTGGTTCTTTTCCTCCAGTCTCGAACCCCACCCCCAGTGCGCCACAAAGAAGATCTGACAGGTGCTTCCTTTCCATTCCATACAGATTGACAAATGACAGGTGGTTTCATTTCACAGTGAGGCCTGAGAAATTGATCTGTGGTCCTTTTTGTTGTTCTGGTGGATTGTTTTTATGCCCCAAACACCCTCCTTTGGGAGGGGATCCTGTGGACTTCCAGATGGCTCTTGGCAGAAGTGTCCTTTCCTCACACTGACTGTGAGGCTGAGAGGAGAAACTCACTGTAGGCCAAGCAGGGGTCCCTTTAGATGGTGGCCTTCTGCGATCTGCAGTGTTGAGACTTGAGCCACGAAAAGCCACCTGATGTGTCCTACTTGGAGGTCTGGTTTCCAGCTCTCCCCAGCATCCAGGAAAGTACACCCTGCTGGCACCTGTTTGCATTTCTCTCTCCCTCCAGCCTTTGCTTACCCAGGTGGCTGCTGCGGAGGACCCATGAGCTCAGTGCGTCCACTCTCACCAGGGCTTGTCATGCTGGTCATGACGCCAGTATCAGTCACAGGCTGCAGTCAGGATCCAAGGAAACGTACCAGGAAACAGCCACTTAATATGGCAGGAATAGCCAGTTTGGAAACATCCGTGACTACATGTTGCCCAAGACCCAGGTTGCCTGCTAGCTTGAGTGGCCTCCCCCATTTAGCCCCAGGCCCTGATAAGGCACATCTCTGTCACCAGATAGAACTGATACCTTTGTGGGACCAAAGCATGTACAGATGGATAAAACAGGGTTTTCTGGAATTCTGGGTGCTTCCTCCCTGTCTTGAATAGGGACCGTGGGAAGGGAAGACAGAACAAAGAAGAACTCGTGCTTCCTGGATGAGGTCACCTCTCGTGGTGGGGACTGCACAGACCACCTTCCCAGCCCTTCATTTGTGCAGAATCTTTCTGCCGGGCCAAGAGGGGAGGAGGGGTGTCTCCTACTGGGGCTCACATAAGAACCGGCGAAGGCCTGAGGATTTCCACAGTCGCTGCAGGAGACTTTTAATTGTGGGATCTCGTGGACAAAGGGGGAGAGTTCCTTATCCATGGCGCTGTGGTTCTGTCCCCCAGGAGCACAGAGCTGGGGCTGCCAGCTGAGTACATTTCTCAGCATGTGCCAAGCGGTTAGGAGGCAGGTGATGGATGTGACAATTACTCGTGTTCTGAGGGTTGGGCTGCCTTCGTACTCTGGCAGCAGAGAGGTCTTCCCTCTGTTGACAGGACATGACAGGGCTGGCTCTGGCACGGCACGGCACAGCACAGCGGCCATCAGTGTCAGCATTCCTGATGCTGCTAGCGAGAGCCTCCGCCTGTAGCTGGGTGACGTGTTGCCAGTGGTTTGACTATAAAATATGGTGGTGCTTGTTTGCATTTAATCAAATACTTTGCAGTTAAACATGAATTAAAGAGACGAGTCAAAAGACTTCAGTGAAAGCTAATATTGAATCTGTGCCTATTCTTTATAATATCATTCAGATTAAAGGCATGAAGATGCAAAATGCTATGATCATACCCCAATAGTGTTCAGGTTGGATTTTTTTGTTCTATATTTCTGCATTATTCACAATGATTTTGAGAGGCATTAGAGGCACTGATTTCTCCTTGTGACGCGAAAACTAAAATTGAGAAAATTCTTCAGAATGCAGCCATTTTGGAAATGTAGATAAAGAAGAAAAATGCTGAAGATTTGGGTGGTTTACAGAGCACCATGATTTTGTAATTGCTGCCACCTACTGTATGTGGTTGATGTTTGTTTAAATTTAGGAAGTTCATGAAGGTGAGGCTGTTGAAATGGATAATTAGAGCAAGGTAGACATCATTAGCTTACAGCATTTCTTCTCTACTCTATAAGTGGCTCTTAATTACCCAGACAGCCGCCAGCTTTCATTCATTTTCTTCAAGTGGATTTAAAGTTTTCCTCATTTCCGAGTTCCTATGCCAAGGAACCTTCACATAACGCTGCAGAATGTGTTCAAAAGATGGATGTGTTTGGGCTTTTTGGAGTATACATGAAATAATTTAATTTAAAGAGTTTTGTTTTGTATGAATTTTTTAATTTGTAGGAGTAGCTTTCTGGGGTTGGATTAGAAATTAATTTCCATGAAAGAGGTGAAGGTAGCGCTAGTGGAGCTGACGTGAATTGCAGCAGTTGACTTGAAAGACATTCTTTTATGAGTCCTAAAACAGATCTTCAGATCACCCAGCTGGTTAAACCTAACAGGCCATGTAGACTCTGAGAGCCCGGTGAGGCCCTTCTCTTTTATTAAGACCCAGCTGTCAGAGGGTCATTAGGTCCTTCCTGTGAAAAACAACTTGCCCATTAATGTTTAGGCTGGTCCCTCGACAGGATTTCTGAGTAAGTGCCTGACACTGAGTTTCTGAAAGAGTTTAAAGCTGGTAGGAGATGGATGTTGAGATTTGCCAGAAGTGATGCCTTCAATCTCAGCTTTCAGGCTTTGTTCAATATACCACAGTGTATGTTTGGGAGGCCGCTGCTGTCTTGTGAACTGACTTATAGTGCCGCTAGAGAAGATGCGGAGCATGAATGAACTTCCTGGAGATCCAGTCATGAACTGGGAAGAAGCTTCATACATAAGAAGATGTGCCTCGTTGGTGTGATGTTTTAATGTTGTTGCTACCTATATTCGCCAGCAGCTCCCATTCCTATCTCTGGAAACACCACAGTAAGTGGACTTCTGCTTTTTCTGCCTTAGGCTATTTGCTTTCTAGAAGAGAAGGCCAAGCAGGGTCCCCTGAAAAGCCCCTCTCTGACCTGGGCCGTCTCTCCTACCTGGCCTATTGGAAGAGTGTCATCTTAGAGTACCTCTGCCGCCACCACGAGAGGCACATCAGCATCAAGGCAGTTAGCCGAGCCACGGGCATGTGCCCCCACGACATCGCCACCACTTTGCAGCACCTTCACATGATTGACAAGAGAGATGGCAGGTGAGTTCCTGGGCCCGGAGTGATGCTGCCACCTCTGAAGCCTCTCCCACCAGAGAGGGTCCGTGAAGGCTCAGAGCGCACATGTATTCCAGTTGCAGATAAGAGGACCCTTGCTGGTATTATCAGAACCATTCTACAAGGAAAATGGGAAATGATACTCTTTGGCTTGCTGTATTTCACTTGGCTGTACCCTTTCGTGTGCTTCCTGATTTTTTTCCTAACCTGGGTAGTATTAGCGACTAGCATGTGCCAGCGTGTGAAGGTGAAATGAAATTGCAGCTTTTGATTGCATTTTGTTCTGCCTTATCACATTACAGATTTGTCATCATTAGAAGGGAAAAGATGATACTGGACCACATGGAAAAGCTGAAAACCTGTTCCCGGGTCAATGAACTTGATCCAGAGTGTCTGAGGTGGACGCCAATTTTAATTTCTAATGTTGCGGTTTCTGAAGAAGAGCGGGAAGCTGAAAAAGAGGTAGTGATTGGCTTCTTTATCCTAAACTGTGTAACTTCAATCTTTTCAACTCTCTTAAGCTGAGAAAGTCATTAACGTCATTGTCAAAGGCTTGCTTATGTGTAGAGCACTTGTGAAATGATATGGCACTAATTTATCCTAACCGAGGTTGCATGGTAAGACATGATAATTTTATTGAATTGAGTATGAAAAATGAAACATTTATCATTGATCACAAAGCAGCATTTTTCACTCCCAACAGCATGTAATCAGATCAGATTTGGTGCTGAGCTCCGAGGCTGCAGTGTCAATCGATTCTTTGTGTTTATGAACTTGCTTAAAGTGCTCCATGCCAGTGAGCATGTAATGTAGTGATAAAGGATTCAAATCAATTAACTGCATCATTTGTACTGCTAAATATCCCATGAAACCCAGTCTCCTTTGATTTGTTATCCTAACTGATGCCAAGGGGTCCTGAGATGATGTGGCTGGAATTTGTGTGGCTGGCTGACTGTCCTCATCCGAGCTCACTTAGAGACCCTTTGCCATTGATTCTTAGAGGCTCTTGCTGTGGAGCTGCCCTCTTTCACTGGTCGCCATTTCTACCCTCCCCTCCTAGGCGGAACGGCTGATGGAGCAAGCTAGCTGCTGGGAAAAGGAGGAGCAAGAAATCCTGTCATCTAGAGTGAACAGTAGGCAATCACCTGCAAAAGTACAATCGAAAAATAAATATTTGCATTCCCCGGAGAGCCGGCCGGGGGCAGGGGAGCGAGGGCAGCTGATGGAACTGGCTAAAGAGAGCAGTGAAGAAGAGGAAGAAGAGGAGGACGAGGAGGAGGAGGAGGAGGAGGAGGAAGAGGAGGATGATGATGAGGACGATGAGGAGGAGGAAGAGGAGGAGGAAGAGGAGGAAGAAAATATTCAAAGCTCTCCTCCACGATTGACTAAACCACAGTCTGTTGCCATAAAGAGAAAGGTATGTGTCTGTTTAGATTTTAAGTCTGTGTGTCTCTTTCAGTCGACTATCACTGGGAACATTCTTACAGTATTTGTATTCTTACTCGTATTCTGTACTTTAAATGCAGTTTATATGCACACAGCTCCAGTGATCGACGTCATAATTGTTTACCTTACAATCATGGTTGGGTTTACTGATGGCCATAGCAGGAAACCAGGGACTGGCCAGCTTCCTAGTCCAGTAGTCACTGCCACCTGCTGGTCTGCAGGAGTAGACTAAGTGGCAGTGGGACTCAAAAGTGGTAGCACAGGGCACTTAACTACACTTCCAGGAGACTTACCCAAGGTCACTGGAAGCCCAGTGTTCCACTGCTGTTTCTTTCTCTTTCTCTTGTCATAACACTGTTGCAAAGTAGGTATTTTTCATGCGGATATTTTTTATTTATGGCCAACTATGTGTTACTGAAATTTTTTCTATCTTAGTAACCTGATGGTTTTTCTAAATGACACCATCTCGCTCATCTCCAGTGATACAGAAAGTAAGCAGTTGAATTTGTCTTTAGATAGTTGCTTCCCCAGTTCTGATTATCTTTGTCCCGTATCTACACATGACATGAAGAGGGGCCAGGTATTGTTTTTATAGCCAAATAGAGGTAATGCAACACAGGGAATTGCAGGTCCCACCCCCAGTTCAGGGCTCTTTCTCTAGGCCTGGCAGTTAGAGAAGGTAGCTGGGGGGAAATGGGAGAAGGGAACATCCCATGAGTGGACTTCAGGCTTCTGGCTAATGTTTTTAATTTTTCCAAGAAGAATAATTTAATGTATTATATGTATAATGAGAGGAACTTGTCCTAAAAACATCAAAAGCCAGAATCATTTCAGGCTTGACATGGACTACAGCTATATAAATGAACTCAACCTAAAGAAACCAGTTTTTTATAGTGGTCACACTCAGGTTTGAAAACATTCTATCTTAGGGAAGGCAAGCAGACTAAGGAAGTTAATAACCACAAAGGTCATTTTGCAGAGTGTGACTAACAGGCCTATATGTGTTCTTCAGAAACACTCAGAGGACTGAAAAGGTAAAGCATAAAATTTTTAAGATGTAATCTACCAGAAGGTTGGCTCCCCCTACCTCTGATACCAGGGACTGATCTCGGGGCCTTCACACTGAGCTATATCTCCAGACATTTTTTTTTTTTTTTTTGGTACCGGGGATCAAATTCAGGACCTTGCGCTTGCAAGGCAGGCCCGGTGCCACTGAGCTAAACCCCCAGCCCCCGGCCCAGACATTTTTTTAAAACAGTGTCTTCTGAGTCACTAAGTTGTCTTGGCTGGGTCTGAACTTGCAGTCCTCCTGCCTGCGCCTTTCAGAATACTGGGATCACATACAGATGCCACGAGGACTGGCTTCTACTGGGCATTGAACCCCGAGTGTCGCCCATGTCAGTCAAGCACTGTACCACCAAGCTACACCTGTAGTTCTTTGCTGTGTATTTCCAACAATTTTGGAACTCACTGTTGACAGATTCCATTTTAGCAGCAAATCTACCTGTTAGTCCTTTTAGACATTTTTATCATTATTTTTTACTTGTGAAAAATATATTATAATTATAATTATAGAGAGTCATTTGTGTCACTCTTTTAATATTAGCAGGAAAAAGTTTTTGTATCTTACATAAAGATGAAACACTGCATTTCCTTCAACTTTTTTTTTTTTTTTTAGACACTCTTGGCTCAGCTCAAACTTGTAATCCTCCCGCCTCCACCTCCCAGCAGGTGTGTGCCACCACACCTATCCTTTTCAGCCCCTGCCACCAATACTGGGGACTGAGTCCAGGGCCTTCACAAAGCTTCATCTCCGGCCTTTTATCTTTTATTGAATTTTTATTTTTATTTGTTTTATACATGTTTACAGAACATAATGATTACATTCCTCCTGGGTTTGTTTTGTTTTGAGACAGGGTCTCATTAAGTTGCCCAGGCTAGGCTCAAGCTTGTGATCCTCCTGCCTCAGCTTTCTAAAGAGCTAAGTTACAGAAATGCACTGTGCCTGGCTTCTTTTTACTTTTTATAAGGTGTCATCCATATTATACTATTTTGCAAAATTATCAGTAATTTCCCCACACCCCAACCGTCAACAACCACGTAAGTTTGTTGACTTTTTAAGCCATAGAAGCATGCTTTCTTTAAACTCTTTTTTTCTTTCATAGTTCGCGAAGTCGCATTAAATGAGACAAGTAAACTAGTCATGTCCACTGTCACATTGCCCATGCTTTCCCTATAATGAGCATCCCTTAAACAGTTATCAGGTATTTAACGAATGACCCGATGGCAAGTAAATTATTGCAACACTTACATACAGGGTCTGTGACAACCTTAAAATGTCTATTGTGTACAGGGTATTGAAGCCTGCAAGTACCACTTGGAACATGAATGCTAGGAAAGCAAAGCTTAGCTTTTTAAAATCTACGGTCAAGCTGCTAGGCCATTCCTTCTTGAAGCATCTGCTTGTCAAACAACTGTTGTATTTGGAAAACACTTGCCTGTGTAGTTGGAGCCTGAGAGGGATGTTAAACATCAAATGGAAGGTTAAGTACAAAGGCACCGCGGCAGCCTTTACATGTGAGATTCTCAGCCGTGCCCTCAGTACATGTCTGCGGCACATCGACTCACCCATTTAATTTCTCCTGAGCTCTGATGTACTACGTTTGGAATTAATTTCAGAGGCCTTTTGTACTAAAGAAAAAAAGGGGTCGTAAACGCAGGAGGATCAACAGCAGTGTAACAACCGAGACCATTTCAGAGACAACAGAGGTCCTGAATGAGCCCTTTGACCACTCAGACGAGGAAAGGCCGATGCCGCAGCTGGAGCCTACCTGTGAGCTGGAAGTGGAGGAGGAGAGCCGGAAGCCTGTCCTGAGGAGAGCATACCAACACCAGCCTGGGAAGAAGAGGCAGACAGAGCTGGAGGAAGGAAAAGACAATCACTGCTTTAAGAATGCTGACCCCTGTAGAAGTAAGTAGAGGGTTATAAAGGTCTCCCTGTGCACAGCTTGATGTTGTTGTCCCAGGGGCACCTGTGAGTTTGCACCAGCACACCTAACCCAAGTGCCCTTCTGTCCTTTCTTACTCATAAAAGGGTCTGTCTTTTTTTCCTGGAAGACCAGACAACTTTCCTCTGGGTGAGTTTACCTTTGCAGACACTGGCTTAGCACTGAAAACTTTGACATCTGTCATTAAGAAATACATGGCATTTCCTTGGTTGTAGTGCATATATTTCTTCACATTTAGTATTTTGAAAATGAGGACCTTCCTGTATTATCATCAGTGTGATCATTGCATGTGATAGTTCTTTTTCCTGGAAAACAAATATTAGGAAACAAGCGGTGCGTCTTAATCACTAGTAGGGGTACACTGTGAACAAGAATCATCTGAATTCACCCATACCCTCAGTTAGAGCTCTGATAACATGGGACAGCATAGAAATCAGGAAAGTAACTTTCCTTCTAAGTTGACAGGGACACTCCTTCCTCATCCTCTACAAAAATATGAACGCCAGTGAATTGTCCGTGATACCCTGTTGAGAAGCATCCATCCCTGGCCTGTCAGCCTGGGCAGTGACTCCCAGCGGAATCATGAGAATTTATGGGACAGTGTTTACTCTACCAAGGACATGACTCTATTCAAAACCTGTTCCGGTTTGGGGAATGGACTGTTTCATTTCCCTGGGAACTACAGTTCCCATCAGGTGTCTCAACAGTCAGTTTTAAGAACATAGCCAGTATCTTGACTTCTTTAGATAACAGTGACGTGTGGCCACAGACAGTCGTTGCTGAGCGGATGACATCTACCCTAGGAATACACAGGCTAAGTCTTGTTCTTTGGTTTCTTGAAATGAACAAATGAAAACAAACAACGAATTCAGAGGTGGGGGTGGAATGTGTGTTTATCTCCACTGCTTGGCCGTCTTCCCTGAGGCCTGTAGATGAATTATCATTGCCCTTCTCCCCTTCCTGCTGTTTACCTTTAGAAATTCTTTGTGGCCACTTTATACTCAATTCCTTTTAGGATTCTCCCCTTAATTCAGAATAATTATCAGAAAACTCATTTCCTGGTTTAGGGAGGTATTTCCACAAAAGCTGGTGGGACCAGTAGCTTAAGAATGTTGAATCTGGGGCCACTGGCATGGCTCTTTCGTGCTGTTGTGAATAGAAAGAAAACAACTAGGAACTCTTGAGATGATAGTTAATTCAGGCCTAGGACGTGGTATGTCCGAAAGATCTTTCTAGGTGGCATGCGTTCTTTTCAGCCAGTCAGTTTGAGTATAAACTTGCAGGTAAGTGTATGTATGATCCGTTCATTATAGAAGTGAAGTAGAGCTTACCCTGCTGCACACTGATTGGATTAGAAATCATTCTGTTCTGCAATAAGAGTATCTCTCATGAGTGTTAGATCTTATTTTTGTTCTCCAAAGTGCCGGGGGGATATGTTTTTGGGGCTTTTTTAATTGTTTTTTCAGCACTGGTGATTGAACCCCAGGTTTTCCCACATATTAGGCTATACCCCAGTCCTTTTTATATTGAGATAGTTTTGGGGTTTTTTTGTTTGTTTGTTTTGTTTTGTTTTTTGCAGGTGGCAGAACCACTGGCTACATTCCCAGCCCTTTATTTTGAGATAGGATCTCACTAAGTTGACCAAGTTGGACTCAAACTTACAGTCCACCTGCTTCTGCCTCCCAAGGAGCTGGGATTATAGGCATACATCACTATGCCCAGCCAAAATAAACCTTCTTAATAAAGTTATTCCCTTTATAAAGATTTTCCTTTAAACTGACCAGTGATTCTAGAACGTTTTAACTTCCAAAGATGTTAAGGCATGGTCGACTTGTAGGTGTATATTTATATAGTGTTTGTATAACCTTGCGAGTTTATTTACATTCAGATAGATAGATACAGAAAGATAAGGTTACCTGAAATGAACTTTACAATTACTGTTTGTTTCTTTTTGTCTTGGTGCAAATATTGCATTTCAGTAGCAAGTTGATCCAAAGTACATTGTAGGTAAAAGTAGTACTAAGAAGAGTATTGTTGTTTCGAAAGTTCAGGAATTTCACGATCCTTACATTGTAGGCTGTGTCATACAGAAATTATGATCCTAAAAGTGATGACATATGCACGCATTTGTGTATCTAGTTATTCATTTGTTTCAGAGGTACAACATGTTCAAATGTTTGAGTCAAAGTAAATAATATAACCTGAAATAATTTAAATCTAGTAAATGTTCCCAAACAGAGGTTCAGTTACTCGAGGTAGATACAGAAGTTGGACTTCCAGTCATCTTTCCAGTGCAGTGAAGATTTAGATATGTGAGCCTTAATCCCTTTTCCGTCTGTTTCCTAATTAGTTTTCCTAATTGGTTCAGAGTGACTTTTTTGAGTTGTAGGCACTCCAAGTGTTTGCATCAGAGAATGTCTCATCTGTTAAGCTCAAGTATTTTCCCAGGCTAGGTTCCTCCCTTGGCTTCTGCGCGGCATGACTCCAGGTTACTCTTGATTGTATTTACCATCTACTTCTAACATGCTAAACTCTTAGGAGCAGTGCTGGCCAGTTAATTTAGGGGAACGGTGAAGTTGTCTGGTTGCGCCTTCTAATTTTGCTCTCTTCCCTTCCCATTCTCTTTGCTAAGACAATACGGATGATGATGCAGATAACTTGAAAGAAGGCAGCAAAGACAATCCTGAACCTCTGAAGTGCAAGCAAGCATGGCCAAAAGGAACCAAGCGAGGAGTCTCTAAATGGAGGCAAAACAAAGAGCGCAAGACCGGATTTAAACTGAATCTGTACACCCCACCGGAGACACCCATGGAGCCCGACGAGCAGGTCACAGTGGAGGAGCAGAAGGAGATTTCCGAAGACAAAGGCAGCCCTGCTCTCTTGGCGATGGAGCAGGAGGTGAAGGAGACCACAGAAGCCCCATTGCCTCGGGATGGAAACAGAGGGGAAGAATCGTGCGCACCCGGGAGTCCACATAAATCACCAAGCGAGAAGCCAGCCGATCTCATCAAACCCGAGGAAGAGGAGGAGGAGGAAGAAGAGGAGGAAGAGGACGAGGAGGAGGAGGAAGAAGGAACTGAAGAAAAAGACCCAGATGGTGCTAAAAGTCAGGAAAAAGAGGAACCAGAAATTTCCATGGCAAAAGATGACCGTGTGCATCTGGATGATCACGAAGAGGAAGAGGACGAGGATGAAGAGCCATCACACAATGAGGACCACGATGCGGATGATGAAGACGACAGTCACATGGAGTCTGCCGGAGTGGAGAAGGAAGAACTCCCAAGAGAAGCCTTCAAAGAAGTGCTGGAAAACCAGGAGGCTTTTTTAGACCTTAGTGTTCAGCCCAGTTATTCGAACCCAGAGGTCCTGATGGACTGTAGTGTTGATGTCGCAGCTTCGTGTCACAGTGAGCCTAAGGAGCTTCCTGGGGACACCGAAACTGCACCTGAGTCTGATGAGGAGCCCCCAGAAGAACAGGCCGAGAAGCAAGACCAAAAGGACAGCGAGGAAGTGGAGTCTGAGTTCAAAGAGGGAAACACAGCAACCATGGAGATCGATTCAGAGACTGTCCAGGCCGTTCAGTCTTTGACGCAAGAGAACAGGGAACAGGACGACACCTTTCAAGACTGTGCTGAGACACAAGAAGCCTGTAGAAGCCTACAGAACTACACCCATGCAGACCAAAGTCCACAGATCGCCACAACGCTGGACGATTGCCAACAGTCAGACCACAGTAGCCCAGTTTCATCTGTCCATTCCCATCCTGGCCAGTCAGTCCGTTCTGTCAACAGCCCGAGCGTCCCCACCCTGGAGAATAGCTATGCCCAAATCAGCCCTGATCAGAGCGCCATCTCAGTGCCATCTTTACAGAACATGGAAACCAGTCCAATGATGGATGTCCCATCCGTTTCCGATCACTCACAGCAAGTCGTGGACAGTGGCTTTAGTGACCTGGGCAGCATCGAGAGCACAACAGAGAACTATGAAAACCCAAGCAGCTATGATTCAACCATGGGTGGCAGCATTTGTGGAAACGGCTCTTCCCAGAACAGCTGCTCCTACAGCAGCCTCACCTCCAGCAACCTGACACAGAGCAGCTGTGCCGTCACGCAGCAGATGTCCAGCATGAGTGGGAGCTGCAGCATGCTGCAGCAGACCAGCATCAGCTCTCCCCCAACCTGCAGCGTCAAGTCTCCCCAGGGCTGTGTGGGGGAGAGGCCCCCGAGCAGCAGCCAGCAGCTGGCACAGTGCAGCATGGCAGCCAACTTCTCCCCACCCATGCAGCTGGCCGACATCCCTGAGACGGGCAACGCCAACATTGGCTTATATGAGCGAATGGGGCAAAGTGATTTTGGGGCTGGGCACTACCCACAGCCATCCGCAACCTTCAGCCTTGCCAAACTGCAGCAGTTAACTAATACACTTATTGATCATTCATTGCCTTACAGCCATTCCGCTGCTGTGACTTCCTATGCAAACAGTGCCTCTTTGTCTACACCATTAAGTAACACAGGGCTTGTTCAGCTTTCTCAGTCTCCGCACTCTGTCCCTGGGGGACCCCAAGCACAAGCTACCATGACCCCACCCCCCAACCTGACTCCTCCTCCGATGAATCTGCCACCGCCTCTTTTGCAGCGGAACATGACCGCGTCCAACATTGGCATCTCCCACAGCCAAAGACTGCAAACCCAGATCGCCAGCAAGGGCCACATCTCCATGAGAACCAAGTCGGCGTCTCTGTCACCAGCCGCTGCCACCCATCAGTCACAAATCTATGGTCGCTCCCAGACCGTCGCCATGCAGGGTCCTGCACGGACTTTAACGATGCAAAGAGGCATGAACATGAGTGTGAACCTGATGCCAGCCCCGGCCTACAATGTCAACTCCGTAAATATGAACATGAACACTCTGAACGCCATGAATGGGTACAGCATGTCCCAGCCAATGATGAACAGTGGCTACCACAGCAACCATGGCTACATGAATCAGACGCCCCAGTACCCTATGCAGATGCAGATGGGCATGATGGGCACCCAGCCATATGCCCAGCAGCCAATGCAGACCCCACCCCACAGTAACATGATGTACACGGCGCCGGGACATCACGGCTACATGAACACAGGCATGTCCAAGCAGTCTCTCAATGGGTCCTACATGAGGAGGTAGGCGGCCTGGGCAGTCCCAGCACCCCCTGGGCATCACTCTCGGATTGATCTGCACAAATACCTATGAAGAGTACGATTTCAAAACCAGCAATTGGTGTGAATGCAAAAACATTTGTTGGCACCATTTATTTAAAAAAAAAAAAAAAAAAAAAAAAAAGCTGTATGCAGCAGAAAGCCTTATACAAGTTGTTTTTCTTTTTTTCTCTTTTTCTTTTTTGGTACCTTGGTTTCTGTTACTTTTATATGAAATCCTTGGCAAAGGAAGGCCTCTCTTTGGACTACAATTTGGAGGCAGTCACTTGTCATGCCTGCTTCCTGTAAAACAATGTGGATATCAAATCCCCCAAATTATCTGTTTTAATATTGAACCTAGAGCTTTTTTTCCTCCCCATCCACTCCATGTAAATGCCTTTAGCATTTCAGTTACTGTATATTTTGTTTAAGGTGACACTTCAGCATGCCGCTAATGTCTTTGTTAGTGACAGTGCGTTTTGTAGTACTGTACAAGTGTTGTGCTAACAGTAAGCCATTTCTTAAGTTCTTTGCCTTGATTAGGGTACCCTAATTTGAGGGTTTAAAAAAAACTATATTTTTGTTAATTATAAAACTGTAAAGAGCTATAAAAGCTATTCCCATTTGGTTAGTCAAAAGGGTTTTATTGCTAAATGTTTGGTGTAAAGTTGAGACCCCTTTCCATTTTGGTGACAGATTTCTTTGGGGAAAAAAGGCAGCTTTCTGTTTTATAAATGCAGACTTCTGTTTATTGAATGAAGCATATCTCAGTGTTTATCTGTCAGGTTTTGAAACATTTCATATATGTCCAAATACTTGGCAGGATTTAAAAAAATAGTGAATTTGGTGTAAAGTTGCTATTTTATGGAAATGCCTCTAACTTTACATTTTCATTCCATCTGTAGATTTTTCTATCTTTATAAAATATTGGAGTTATTTTTTAAGGAAAAATAGAGAAGTAGCTTGTGAATAGCTCAAACTAAGCTTACAAATCGCATGTAAAAAAAGCAAAAAAGTTATTTGTGTCTGTTTATATTGCTTCCTTTTTTGTAGCCTTTGTACCTGTACAGGGTGACAGTAAGGGCCAAGCAGGAGAGGCGTAATCCTTGTATAAAATAGGAGCCAGCAACACTCTTGTATTTATCTGTTCTCTTTTTAGTCAGTTACTTCAAAAAAACAAAAAAACAAAAAAAGCTGTACATTTTAACATAAAATAAATTATGATGAGCCATTTTTAGCCTCTTGTGTCCTGTCATATTATGATGGATGAAGAATGACCAATGGAACTGTATCATGTGTCACATCTCAGAACACATACACATTTGGGGAAAATAAATTATTTAGTGTAAATTGGAGTTAAGAGATTTTCTGATTTGTTTTGACTTTGGGGGAGGGGTTGGCAATAAATAAGAGTAATATCTAATAAAACCATCACATATACCAAATACCTATTTAATAAATTAATTTATAATGGATTTTAATGCTTTTCATGAAAGTTTATTTTATGCTAGTGCATACCTTCTGTATGCCAATCATTGTCTTTAAAATAAAGTGAATTTGTTTTTTTCTTTTTGACTTTGATCTTCATTTGCAAAGAGATCCTGAACAGATACCCAGTTGCCTTGTTTGTACGGTCTGTATAAACTCCCCTCCGAGCTTAGGACCATGGTAGGAAAAGCACCCAATTTGGGATTGTATGTTTGAAAATTTCCTTCAAAAAGGTGTGAAAGTTATGCTTTGTTGTGGATGATTGTATGTTTTCTTTAGAGGCTGAAGTTCAAACCAGAAAAAGAAAAAGTCTGCCAACATAGCATTCAGATAAAGTCTTGCCTGAAAATTAAAACATTTTGATTGTTCAAGTAACAAGTCTAGAAATGAATGTTTGGCTTGGAACCCATGTGAAAACGGCTTACTGTGCTCAGAGCTCTCTGCTAAGCGGATCATAGCCATTGGCTCAACACAAAATAATGAGGCGTTGTGCAGCGCGTGCATGCACAGCTCACAGTGGGGCCGGAGCTCTGCAGAGGCAGGGCCGTGCATACATCCAGGCCACGGAGCAGAACGTCGTCCGGCTCACCCTCAGCGTCCGTCTTTCCCAGTTTCCCTTTTGATCTCTTCCTTCCACACCTACAAAGTCCACAGGGTAATAATACCTGTAGGGAGACATTTCTCAGGGACTCTTGTAGCAAGAGGAGGCAGTCTGGGGACCCACCTTGAAACTCGGGCGTTTAGTCTCTTTTCTCTTAGGCTGGTACCTGGGGTGGGGCTGAGATTCCCCTCTTCCCTTTGTGGTGGTTGCCAGTCACACCCTGGCATTTGGAGCACGTCTGGGCTCCAGCATTCTACGCCTTACCTGCTTCACTGTCCTCTAGGGAGCTGGTGGACTCTTGCTTTCCCAGACCACAGTCACAACAGCCCTGGGGATGCCTTGAGTCTCACAGGCTCCTGAGCGACTGCAGGTCCAACATCCAGAATGGCTTCATCTAGGGGGGAAATTGCCTGGCTGAGACGCCACAGAGCAGCTGCCCTCCAAACCCATCTGCTGTCACTGGGGACATCACTTCAGACCTGTAAGTGAAACCCAGGGTCCCGTAGAAGAGGAGCTTGGCCTCACCAGGACTAAATCCAGTCACAGTGAGTTGCGGTCCACTCAGGCCACATCTTGAAAACCAGTAGTATATTGTGTCCCATAGTTTGTAAGAGTCCTAACAAGGGGCTGCCCCTCGCCAACCTCACTAACACCTCAAGCGCACCTGGCCCCATGTGCAGGCCTCAACCCTCCTCACCAGCATGCTGTCTTAGAACATTATAGAAAGAGCTTTTACAGGGCCTGGGGATTTAGCTGCCTGTCCTGCAAGTGCAAGGACCCGAGTTCAATCCCTGGTACCCCAAAAAAAGCTTTTATAGACAATCCATGAATCTGCCTACCCACCCCAGGCCAATAATGCTTCCAGTTTACAGATCAGGAGACGGTTGGAGGCTCAAAGACACCAACTTTAATACTCAAACACGCTCAGCTAGAACTCATAGAGCAAATCCATGTCTCCAAATCCCAGCTTCTCCCCAAAACATTTATTGTGGAAAGGCCATAATTTGTCACCTCAGTGAATTAAGATTTAGCTAAGAGGCCGGGGATGTAGCTCAGTGGTTCTGTTGCCTGCCTTGCAAGCAGGACCCGGTTCAATCCTCAGTACCAATAAAAAACTTAGCTAATGAATATGTTACACTGTGAAAACTTCAGCACCGTATACGTACATGTGTCTTTACTGTGGCAAGCAGGTCTTCGGTCTGCAGGCAGTGTTAGGTCCCAGAGTACAAGCATCGTTAGCCACGGTTCCATCCTCTGCCTTCTCTGCCCCCTTGTCTGGATTGTCCTCCACACCCATGCCTGACTGTAAATATTCGTATTCTGCAGCAGTTGGGCCTGGTCACGCTCTCCTTGTCGGGTGTGATGAGTTCAAGTTCCATCTCTACAGGTAACATCCAGAAACAGCTCCAGTCGGGGACGTTCCTGGGAGCTCTAGATTCCGGGGATGACCTGGGACATCTTATGGATGTATCTTATGGGTGTGACCTACTGAACTGGTGATTTCCAGCCCCAATCGCAGAATGGAGGCGACACCAAGGAACAAGTCTATCGCCCTCCTGTCTTAGCAGCTTGCCTCCATCTTCCAGTTCCAAAACAAACCTTAACACGTCTCCTGTCCATCAGTCCAGTCCACCTCCCCTTCCTGTCCTCAGCCTTCTTTACTTCCTATACGACTCATTCTCCAGCTTACAGCATAAGTGATTTAAAAAAAAAATTTTTTTTTTACTTCTAGCATGATTGTGTTTGGGTTTTTTTGTTGTTGCTTTTTCTTGACTGTTTTTGTTTTGTGGATTGGGGGGTTGAATTCAGGATCTTGTGCTTGTGAGGCCAGCACTGCACCCCTGAGCTAAATCCCCGGTCCTATTTTGGGTTTTTCGAGACAAGGTCTTGCTATATAGTCCAAGGTGGCTTTGAACTCATGGTGATTGTCCTGCCTCAGCCTCCTGAGTGCTGGGACTACAGGTGTGCACCACCACACCCAGCTCCAGAGTGACCTTAACAGCTCTCACCATGCCCCTGCTTAAAACCCTCCAGTGGTTTTGCTTTACACTTAGAAGTAAACCTAGTCTCTCGGAACCTTTCCACTCCTCCCTCACCTGACCACCATTCCTCAGCCTAGCATGCTTCTTCCTCATTCGGGAGTCTAAGCCCCCTGTCACCACAGATGTCACCCTGGAAATAGCGGCCTTGTCCACCACACTTCCTGTTTTTCTCCATCTCAGCATCTGTTTACCTCATGACAATGTATTACGGCCTTGTTCTTGTTTGCACTTCTGTCCTCCGTGCCCTGGCTTTTTTGTGCACATGGCATGTTCTCATAAATACTTGTGAAGACATGAGATGCTACTGCACGACATCCAGCTCCCAGACCCCATCACTGAGTCCTCTCCCCTAAGGCCCCACAGAATTGGGAGGTGTGGAGGGAGGTGGTGGGGCTGAAGACAGTCCCTGCTAACGCATGAATTCACCGCATGTCAGATAATCCCCTGAAAGAGAAACCCTGGCTTGTCTCTGCCCACCAACAAGGATACTGACCTCAGGGGGCTCCACCAGCTGCCTTGCAGGGAGTCCCACTGGGCTCAGTACGGCCCCAGGTCTTTTGCGTCTGCCCCTCTTTCCCATCCCACCCAAATCCGGGTGTTGAGCAATTCCGTTGTCCTGGGTGGTCACACCCTGTGGTATTCTCTCCCTTGAGCCTCACAGCTGCACCCGCCTGGCCGTTGTCCAGTTGAGCGCTGTCACCGTTTCTGCAGGAGTCTTCAATCTTTGCACCCAGACAGACCAATCACTACTTATTTCCACTTCCATCATGTTTGCTTTTGTGTTTTGCGACTCCTTGGTTTTAATTTACTAGAAGGCCAATATTCTTACCACAGGCATTTCAGGGAAAAAGTCCTCTCTGTGCATGTAAGGACCCAAGCTCTCCCTGGATGAAAGTGACCGTCCCACAGGCCTGCTGGGCAAGCCCCGGAAACTGGCCGAGCCACAGTGTCTAGGCCACAGGTCTTCCCTGTGCAGGGTCAGGTAGCTTTACCCAGCTGCCAAGTCCCCGGCCGGACTCAATCCTCCCTCCAGTAAAAACTTCCTCTCCTACCCAGGATTTAGCTCAGTGGCTCTGCTTCCTGACTCACAAGCACAAGGTCCTGAGTTTGATCCCCAGACTGGAAAAACAAAAACAAACAAACAAATAAATAAAAAACTTCCTCCCCTTTTGCAAAAAACCATATCCAAATTGGAGCATCAGACCCCTTGCCTTAGTTTTCCAAGAGAGCTTTACACTCTGCTTTCTCTTTCTCCCACTGGTTTCATTTCTGACTTGTGCCCGCTGGGTCTCCACCAGCAGCATCTTTCTTTGGGCTCTGATTGGTCAGGGTTCTTGGTTCCGGAAGCCACCACCACTCATTTCACGCCACTGCCATTTTTCTCCAGAGTGAAAAATCACACAGCCCCGGGGGCGGGCTTCACTCTCAGGCCAGCAAACCCACACCTGAGCTCACCTGGCCGCCCCGCTACCCCGCCCACAGGAAATACATCTGCAAATCCTGAAATCGCAGCTGCCCACCTTGCTCCGGGGTCAAAATGAGAGGCACTTCCCTGAACCCTCCTACCCCAAAGAGTGCCTCATTTTTTTCCACACACACACAATTATAAAACCAAACTCTCGCTGTTCCGAATTTCCCACAGTGCATCGAATTTGCCTGGGTGGTGAGGGCTCCATGAGGAGTGGCATTCGACTGCCACCAGGTGAGCAGTAATACTGGGTAGTGGCCCCGGCCTGTCTAGGGTTCCATGGGTGAAGCATCGCTGGTGCCCAGGGGCTCCCTAATAAACTGGGCCTGCTCTCCCCTACCACAGTTCACCCAGGTACTTTTGTGTGGTTAGAAAATCAAGTTCTATTTTTAAATTATTTTTTTGTAAGAATGTGACTTTCCTGGTGACAAAGGCAAACATTTAATCACAACACAATGCCCACACATGTTCAAATCCTTCTCTGCCTCCAACTTTTAAAAAAATGAGATTTTTATAAAGCAACCAGTTCTGCTGGGGTCGCTCCCCCCACCCCCCGTGCTGTGACAGAGGCCTGGACTCTGCCAGGAGGTAGCTCTGAGTCCTCCCTGTCCCTGACACGCACTGGGAAGTTTAGCAACTTGGAGGAACCCACTTTTGGAAGAAATCAACGTTTGGTTACTCTGTCCCTTCTCTGTGACCCACGAAGTCACAGGCCAGCGCCCTTTTCAGCTGTCCCTCTCGGTCCCGAGTATCGGCCCCTGAGGAGTGGCCTACAGCTCCTCGCTGTCCCCGCGCGGGGCCTGTCGTCTCTGCTGCACCAGCTGCTTGTCCAGTTCTCGGAGCTGCTTCAGGAAGCCCCGGTTGGGCAGGACACAGCGGTTCCTGGCCACTTGCTGGATGGCGTCCACCAGGGTCATGTCCCTGTGGATCATCAGGTAGGCCAGGACCAGGGTTGCCGAGCGGCTGCGGCCCATGGCACAGTGAACCAGGATCTTATCTGCAGATGGAAGGGGAGAAGAAAAGCCGGCTGAAGGGCCCCCGGCCCAGTCAGGAGAAATGATTGTGAGAAGATCAAAAAATATGGTAAATATTTCATTTTTTAAAAAATTTTTTATTACAATAGAAGACACGTTGCCATGAGTCTACCTCAAAATATTCCCTTTCCCATCAGACACACTTATCCCATGGTTCCTAACCACTTTGTGAAGCAGTTCTAGATAGTCTCTCTCACAAGTGTCTACATGATCAGAAATACGGTGAACGCTGCTGCCATCCGACGGAAAGGCAGGCTCATGACGACAGTCTGCTGTGCCCTCATCCGCCTTATTCACTGGATCTGGCACCAGGCAACATCTGGCTCTTCCCCAAGGTGGAGATGAGCAGGACAGGGAAATGTATGGAACGGATCTGGGACGTTGAGGCAGCCGCAACAGCGTGACCAAGAGACGCAGGAAAGGGGACTTCCAGGACTGCTTCCGAAAATGGTGAGGAAAAAGGGGATAAGTGTGCTGGGGCGGGGCTTGGGGAAGATTCCTGATCATGTGTTTTTACTGCAATAAATACTTCTATTTAAACACTACTTTTCAATCATACTTTGTATGCTTATATTCAACATAAATGAACATTAAAGTATATCAACGAGGGTGCGAGAGGGTGCCCATGGAAAAGCCTCTCTGTCCCTCAGTCCCTCAGCTCCCCAGAGCAATGAGTCTTCCTGACTTCTTCTGAAATTCTGATCATAGGTGCAGGGAGACATAGTTTCCACCTTCCCTACACCTTGCATCCATTTAACAGTGTGCCCTGGCAATCTCTCCAGATCAGCAGGTGCAGAGTTCCCTCTTTTGCTTTGTATTGCTCTGCAGGGAGACCCTGGAGTGTCTGGGCCCTGCGCGGGCTGCATGTGGAGTGGGCACGTGAATCTGCACGGATGGCAGAGCTGCTGGACCCCGCCCCGGAGGAAAGTGCTCCCTCAGTCCTTGCAGGCCTTCGTGAAACCCAGATACCAGCACAGCAGGGATGGAGTCCGTGAGCATCTATATGGCCTGGAGCCTGCAGAACCCTGACCCCATCTTGCAGACCTGCGTTCCAGACTTGTTTCTGCTACCAGCTGCCCACTGAGTGAATAACAGGTAAGGCATTCAGCCTCTGGAACCTCAATTTCCTCAACTATCAAGCAGGGGAGCAAAATCAGATCAGTATTGAACAGAAAATCATTGGTCAGGTTTTTAAAAAATGAAAGGAGGTGTTATGGCACATTTCTATTATCTCAACACTCTGGGAGGCTGAGGCAGGAGGATCTCAAATTTGATCACAGCCTGGGCAGTGTATTGACTTAGGGAGTCCCTGTCTCAAAATAAATACATAGAATACATAAAATAAAAAGAAGCCAGGCATGGTGGCACATGCCTGTAACCCTAGCACTTGGGAGGCTGAAGCAGGAGGATCGCTGCAAGTTTGAGGCCAGCCTGGGCTACCATGAATTCAAGGCCAGCCTGAACTATACAGTGAGACCCTGTCTCAAAAAACAAACAAACATTAAACAAAGAAATAAAAAGGGCTGGGGATGTAGCTCAGTACGAAGGCCCCAGTTTGATCCCCGGTACAAAGAGCAAGGAAGGCAAGGTTTTACTTTGCCATACGCCAAAGGCAAGGGACGAACATTCTCCCAAACTAAACGAACTACGTCATCATCTCCATGGCAGTTCCCCGAGTGTGAGAGGAGACAGGAGCCCCAGCTTGCTTTCAGGAGAGCACGGGGTCAGTGCTATTTCCCTAAGACAACGGTGGGCCGGACCACGGCACAGGCACCAGTTCTCCTGGCCATTGCAGCGTTGCCTGCCCCACACGGTCAGGGGACACAGGCAGTTCCCCCTAAGAATCTCTTCACTCAGACAGTAAAACTTCGTCTTCTCCAGCTCCAGCCCTTGGCTCTCCTTCATACTGCGCGTGATGGAGTGGGGTGGACACAGGCTGCTCTTGGGCCGCATCCCAAGTGCAACGCTTGTCTCCAGGAAAAGCCTGCAGGAGACGGAGCTGTGTGCTGAATCGCCACTCTTTCCCGGCAACTCATTTTTCCATCAGTGAACAATTGATAGAAAAAATCCTGGGTATTCAAACTCGGGCATCCGGCAGAAGTCTTCTCAAAGGAAACAGGGTGACAAGGAAAACAACGGACCTATTTGTAACAGGGGTAAAATGCAAGCTTTCAAGCAAAAATTACAATTTTGGGAAACTTGTGCCTATAACTGTGAAGTTTTCCGTATAGCTGGGTGGTGGTATTGACAAATGTAGCTGTTTTTGGTAATCTATGATGAAAAGAGTCAACATTTGGAAGAACCAAATAACTTGGTTACCCAGTGTTTTCAAATGACCAGTGCAGGCCACTACAAAATCATGCTAAAAAATACCGTCAAAGTGCAAGATCAAACAGTGGACTTCTTCGCTTTGATTTATTTCTTGTTTCTTTTTTGTTTTATTTTTGAGACAGAGTCTCCTTATGCAGTCCAAGCTGGCCTTAAGCTCACTATGTAGCCCAGGCTGGTATCGAACTCAGCAATCCCCCTGACTCAGCCTCCTGAGTACTGGGATTATAGGTGTGCGCCAAAGATTTCTGAAACCAGAAAACCAGAGGTGAGAAGACAGGAGCTGTTTGACCACTGCTATGTTCACAGCTGGGCCAGGTTGAAAATAGTACACTGGAGAAGGCGCCCTATCCTCCAGTCTCCACGTGGTGACGCTCTAGAGCTCACCCAGTACATCTGCAGGCTATGACAGGACCCTCAGGGTTTCATGGTCATCACCCCTCTGAGTTCGATCCCCAGTACCAAAAAGAAAAAAGGAAAAAAGAAAGGGTGATTCTTCATGTCCTCAAACAACCCAAAACAGTGTGACATGGGACCCGTGTTCTGCTGTGCAGCATTGTCAGCAAGAACACATCAGACAGAAGTTCCACAAAATGCCAGGGTGTGGTAGTCCAGGCCTGTAATCCCAGTACGTGGGAGGCTGAGGCAGGAAGACTGCCGTGAATTCGAGGCCAGCTTGTACTACACAGAGAGACCCTATCTACAAAGGTAAAAAATGTTTCGCAAAATAATGTGTCTTTGCTGCACGCTGATATTTTCTAATCTACTGAGTTTCTTGTAAAAGAAATGCTTGTCATACCCACCTGGTTATTTTATGACATTCTAATCTCAACTAGATATTTTCCCTTCACCAAAAGGTGAATTCTCATATCTCCCCCCCTACACTTTTTTTAAGGAGGAAAAGTTTATTTTGGCTCCTAGAATTCTTACAGCCTCATGCGGACAGCCCCAGTCCAGAATCTCCACTGCTCGTCAGTTGTATGTGATGAGGCAGTGACAGAAGGTGAGTCTCTGTCACTCACATGAAACACACCAGCCAGGTCGGTCCCTCGTCACCCCCGTCTCCCTCCTTGGCTTCGGGGATGCTCTTTGCCAGCCTCCCCTCCTACCTTAGAACCCATCTTCCTCAGCATCACTCATGTTCAGGGAAGGGCAGAGCTCGCACAGCGGCTCTAGGGAGGTGGCTGTCCTCAGACGTGGGACACGGTGAGTGTGGGAGAGCAAGAGACCCTAAAAGCACTCAGTGACAATCTGTTCTGTGACGAGCCCCAGAGAGTTGCCTCCTACTGGGAGGCAGGCTTCTTTTATTGTTTGTTTTGTCTTTTGAGACAGGATAGTTCAGGCTGCTCTTAAACACACTCTGTAGCCCAGGGTGGCCTCGGATTCAGGGCAATCCTCCTGACTCAGCCTCCTGATTCTAGATTGCAGACATTGGCCACCATGTTGGACAGGGATGCTTTTCAAAAAGAGTGAATAAGTAGCATGTGCAAGGTCCTGGGTTCAATCCCCAGCATTGCAAGAAAGTGAAAATAGTATGAGTAAAAACAATGGACAAGGTGTGGGGGGGCAGGGGGCAGTGTTCCCTTGACTGAAAGTGGCCAGCAAAGGACAGGAAAGACAAGAGGGAGGGGAGAGAGCCTGCCCTTGGGACAGACTGTGCGCCAATACCTCTAACCTCAGGCATATAAGAAACATGCTCCTGGGCCTGGCTGCAATGCCCTGGCCGTGTCCCTTGGTTTCCAGGACGTGACTGACACAATTAGGCCACCTGCCGCACGCGGCAGTCAGACTGAGCACCTGTCACCCCTGCACCCTGAATCAGTGCGGCTGTCGCACAGCTAACAAGCTCTTTGTTTTGTAGCTTCACTCACTCAGCACAGTGACAAGGGACTGCCATTGGCTTGCAGCGCTTCAAGAAATTTCAGTCTGTTGCCCGTACCTAAGACATGGTGAATTGTGGAGTAAAATCCAGACTGGAGTCTTTGCACCCATTTTCAGAAGAAGTGCAGGGCTGAGCAGCAACCACTCCTTGGATGGGGCCCTGGGATCCCTGCTGAGCCATAAGCACCCCCTACTCACACCGCATGGCTTACATCTGTTCACACACACTGCCTGGTTCCCAATGGCTGGTGTTTGCTGCTCTGGCTTCAATACAAAGGTTTTTTGTTGTTTTGTTTTTTGAGACAGGGTCTCACTATGCAGTTCAGGCTCGCCTTGAACTCAATATGTAGCCCAGGCTGGTCTTGAACTCACAGCCATCCTCCTGCCTCAGCCTCCCAATCACAAGGGTTGCAGGTATGTGTCATCATGCCCAGCTGCACTATTGTTTCTTGATCCTTTCTTTGCTGGGTGCTTTTGCCCACCTGGTGCAGCAGTCACAATCCACACTGGCCTGGCACCACCTTACAGATGCTGTGTGATCCAGACAGGCCTAAACATCCGGCTCCAGTGCCTGAGTCTTTCCTGATCTGGCAGGAGCGGCAGCCTTGAGAATGATGTGCCAGGAACCTAAAACAGGCTTTCACGGGAGCGTCATACAAGTTCAAAGCTGGACTGTGTTTTTTTCCTTTGGCTTTTAGGGCTGGGAGCTTTATGGTGATACTGTGCTCCGCAGTCCACTTTGTCTGGCCCCTGTGCTCTGTGTGCTGCTGCTGCTGCTGATTAGAACCGTCAAGGTAAACTTTCCCATCGCTGCACAGAGACCTAAGGGGTCCCAGCTTCACATCCTTTGTGACTCTGTGATGGGAATGTGAACCCAGCCCTGCCTTCTCCCTTAAGGGGCAGTTCTAAGACCCAGGGACAGGGAGCGGGGGCACGAAACAGGGGCTGCACAGTTCTGATCTCCGTGTCCATCTGTTCTCAGATCAAATGCCAGGAGGTGAATTTTACCTTATGCTGATGAGTCAGGGTCCAGTTGCCATTTGGATACCACTTGGGCATGCAGAATGTACGGAACACAACATAGCATCCATAAATAGACTCACACAAAGATGACTTAGAACAGGAACGCCCTCTAACACAAGGGTTCTCACTGAGCCATCGCTTTTGAACCTTAATAATGACAAATTGTTGGTGGCTATGGTGGCTGGGGCCACTCTGGGGTGGCCCTCGAGGTCTGGGGCTGTTTGGCACAACTGGTCTGGGCCCTGTCCCGGCCTGCAAGTTCCTAAAGCAGGTCAGTCGGTCAGTCAAGGAACCTTCGCAGCAAGAAAGGCTTCCAGTAACTGGACACCCTGAGTTATGTGATCACCCCAGGAAGGGCTGAAGTCAGAGCACAGATTAGGAAGCTGAAGTCCCTCTGGCCTCGGAGGAATGCTCTGACCGCCCCTGCAGCAATAATGGTATCGCTGTACCCCTGGCACACAGCTGAGCTTTACCCTTCTCTCCACAACGGCCTTGCAGCCCCTCCTGAATTAGGGCAGCTAGAACTGCATGGCGTGCACAAGGACTAGCACTGTGATGCAAAAGGTGGATAATCAACATTGGAAAACTTGAACACTGCATGCAAACCACCCCCGGTTCTTCAATATAGTTCGGCCAAGGCTGTCAGCTTGCTACCAGAGGCCCTGCAACATCCAGGGTCCCTGGGAAAGGCTGAGGGTAGGCTGTGAGCTTGGCTGGTTACTAGAAGAATTAAAAATCTCTGCATGGATCCCCTTGCAAGTCAGCTCCCTGAAGGTTTCCTGGCATCAAAGCCCTGAGTTAAGTCGGGCTTGGGGCCACGAACAGTTCACGTCTAGGCTGTAGTCCCAGCTTCACCCAGGTTTCCCTTGTCTTTTTACGGATGAGCAAAGTTCTGCAGGGCTTCAGACCAAGACCTTTCCTCTAACCCTCCGATTCCAATTCCCCGGTGGCCATCAAGGCCAGAACCCCACCAGTCTCACACCGGTGCAGCAGGTCCTCAAACCCCGAGTCTCCAGGGACGCAGACGTCTGCACCTGGACCACAAGTAACCCCAGTGTACCAGGTTTGAGAACCAACCAGATCTCCCCCAGGTCATGCGCTTGCCCTTCGGGGTTGTGGCCTGGACTGTGACTAGGGCTAGGTCTGTGGTTGGCTGTAGCCGCGGGGGGCGTGGTCTCCTGGTGGGCGTGGCCCCCGTGTGGGGCGGGGCCTCGGGCGGGGGCGGGGAATGCGTCCCTTACTGTGGTCGTCGCAGAGAGCTGCGTGGATGAAGGCCGCTGCGGAGTAGAAGAAGACGCTGAGGTCAAAGGTGGGGATGTCGTCGGCCTCGACGCCGTGGTACTCGATGTCCATGTCGCGGTAGTAGTTGGGCCCGGTGTCCACGTTCCAGCGGCCGTGGGCGGCGTTGAGCACGTGCGTGAAGCCCGCCTTCTGCAACCCGTAGCGGTCCAGCGCCGTCGCTCTGGGCGCAGGGGACAGGGGTGGGTGGCGCAGATGGCGGAGCCGCCTGGCTTCCGGTTCCCCACGGAAAGGGACCAGGTGGAAGCCCCCGAAGCCAGGCTTGGACGACCCGAGGCCGCCTGCCGCCCGCCGTTCAGGGCTTCAAGAAGGGAGAGGGTGGGGGCGTGGACCTTCCAGATCCCCCAAGGCTGTTTATCCCGGCTGCCATCACAGAGGCCTGGGAGACCTTTGACAGCTGGCCTCTGCTCTGAGCTCTTAGGGTTTTTATGGGGTTTGGAGGTCGGGGATAGAAAGAATGGCTTAGGGCCGGTCTTTCCCTGTGAGGATTTCTTTTGTTTTTGTTTGTTTGTTTTGTACCGGGGGATTGAACTCGGGACCTTGCGCTTGTGAGTCAGGTGGAGGCACCACTGAGCTAAATCCTCGGCCCTTCCCTGTGCGGATTTTACTGGGACTAGGTGAACTCCTTGAATTGATGTTCAGAGTTGGTGGACCCAGTGTGACTATGAAACAGTTGCTTTAGTGAGTCCTCTGCCTCTTAGGGCAAAACGTTGTTCTGAGGACAGCTATTTGAGCCTAGGGTTTGAACTGACTTTAGGGACATTCCCGAAGCCCGCATTTGGGTTGCCCTAGCTCCGGGGGCAGCGCCGGGGATCGTGGTGAGTCCCTAGGACAGAGGGAGGAATTAGGATCTTACTCTAAGCCTTAGAGGGCTTTAAGGACGGGTCAGTCTGTCCGGTGGGTGGACAGGGATTAGAGAAGGGTGAAAACCAGGAGTGCGTAAGTCTGTGGAGGCTGCTGCAGTTTTGGGGGGTGAGAGAGAAATAGGAGGGAGGGGCAGAGGAGGAGAGAGGAGAGAAAAGTTTGGGCCAGGTGATGTCACAGCAGGTTTGGTTGATTTGGTTGATTGGGCATGGGGCAAGGAAGCGGGCCCTGGCCTGGCTAGATCCTAAGATGTGAGAGGAGAGGAGAGAACAATTTGGAGAGGGAGCGTGGGGTGTGATCTTAGATATCAGGTCCATATTTGGGGTCAAGAACAGCTTTCGATAGAATTTGAGGATGGTCTCGAAGTTGATTCTAAGCAGACATCTCCCTCCATGCCACAAAGACCAACCTGCAGCTCAGGGAAGGGCTCGCGGGATCTAAAGTCACAAGAGTAAGAGGACGCAAGTGACATTATGCTTCAGCTGAAGGCCTGTCTCAAGGGCACTGACATAAGGGTGCCGACAGAAGTGACCATGCTGATGGCAACAGGGACCGACAGGGGGCGCCCTGTACCAAAGCAGCTGTGGCCCTTCCTCGGGGTACCCCTGTGTCTTTCTGGCTTCCTGGAGCTTTACCAAGTGATGCCAAGCACCCCCAGCTGGCTCTTGTTGCAGCCATTTTCTTTTTTTTTTTTTTTTTTTCCCC